TTTTCGGGCTGCCGTATGTTTTTCTTTTCTCTGGAACAGATTCGGCTGAGAACAATTTCTGCGTTCTACAGAAAATCCCCATCATATCACAGAATCACAGAATCACAGAATCACAGAATGGTTGGGGTTGGAAGGGACCTCTGTGGGTCACCCAGCCCAACCCCCTACCCAAGCAGGGTCACCCAGAGCAGGCTGCACAGCACCGCGTCCAGACGGGTCTGGAATATCTCCAGAGAAGGAGACTCCACAGCCTCCCTGGGCAGCCTGGGCCAGGGCTCCGTCACCCTCAGAGGGAAGAAGTTCTTCCTCGTGTTCAGCTGGAGCTTCCTCTGCTTCAGTTTGTGCCCATTGCCCCTTGTCCTGTCACTGGGCACCACTGAAGAGTCTGGAGTTGTACTGTGGGGCCTGACAGCACCGGCGCAGCGATGGCTGAGTCTGGCATGAAACTGTCCCAGAGTCCAAACCCAAGTTCAAGGTGGATCTGAATCGCGTTGTGATTTCTGCGGCCAGACTTTCACTTTTTGTGAACTGGCTTCGAGGGAGAGGGGAGGACAGCTCATATTCACCGATTGCCTACGTGGCTTTTCCGACTGGTGCGTGGGCTGCGCTCGGAGGAAGCGTGGAGATGGTACCCAGTGAAGGGAGGGATGGTAACTGAGTCACCTGATCAGTCTTCTGCCTGGTGTAGGTGAGCTGTGATAAGTTCAGAATGTAACTCTGTGTCGCGTTGTTTCAGTTCCTTCATAATATAGTGGATGGCATCTGCGGCCGTGCGTATCCTCGGTACCAGGATTATGGCAGTGTCTGGAGCTTGGCGGAGTGGATGGAGGTTTTAGAAGAAACGAGGACGTATTTCAAAACTGCGGTTGGCAAAAACATATCTGATGAAGAGGTAAGGGCTGATCACTGGTTTGGCTCGGCTTTGAGAGATCTTACTGGAATGGTTACTCTTGTAGTTTATTTAGTATTAAAGTAGTTTTATAGTGTAGCATTAGAGTAGTAGCAGACTAAGCCTAAATAGGTAGAAGGTTAGTAGCAGTTAGTGATACACTGTGAAGGCTTCTAAAAGGAAAAGTGAAACTGGACATTGATTTTTTTCTTTTTTATTGGAACTAGATAATACTTCCTTGTTAAATTATTGTTTTAGTCCCTGAAATGTACTGTTTTAGTCACCTAAATTGGTATCTTAAATACCACCAAATTGAATCTGTTTTCTTTAAAATACATGACTTGTTAGTACTATTCAGTAGCGATAAAAACAATTCACACTCTTGTTTGGCTTTCTTTGGTCATTACTGTTGCATTGAAGTGGTGTAAAATATTTACTGTATGTAAATCGAAAAAAAAATCTAGACTGTGAATGTGGGATAGGGACTATAACTCAGGGCATTCCGATATGTGTAAACTTTGCAATATCTTGTTCCATTATAGGTAGTGTTAATTCTCATCTTTTGCCTGTTGCTTGTGTTTTGACTGTCTGCTAATAGCTAGATCAAAGAAAGATACTTGTGTAGCCACAGGGAAGTCGATAAATTGGTATGGCTGTTTCAGCTAAGGTGGTGTACTTTGTTTCCACTCTGATGTTCATAAACTTTCAGAGCTAAACCTGTATTGTTTGTGCGTGTGACTTTTTTGTTTTGTTTATTTCTTTTGATTTTAGAGTGGCATCTAAGAAGGCCAATAAAGCCCCCATTCTCTGGTCTCTATTAATTTAAATTACAATAATTATGTTTTTTTGTTGTTTATTTAATATGTTGCTGTGGTAATTGCTGACTGTAGCTATCAAACAGAGAGAGCAGCCACTGAGGGCAGCGTAAGAAAGATGAGACCATGGAGTCCAGTATAAGACCTGTCTGGGGAGAAGCTCGGATAGCTGCAGAGCACAGCTATTACATGTTATTTCTGGGGCTCATAGTTTAAGCAATCCCAATTTTTATTTTTGTAGGCCGCTCAGCAGATAAATGAGTTAAATTCAAACTGTCAAGAAGCAATCACAAAATGTCTAAAAGGCAGAAAGGAAGAAATCAGGAATGCGCTGGTGGAAAGAGTAAATGCGATCTCCTCGGCCCAGCTGCAGGATTTTGACTGGCAGTTAAAGGTGAGAGTGTTGCTGTCGTGGTGTTTGAAGGAAGAGTTCCACAATGCAGAAGTAACTATTTGTGTAGTCCCCTTGGGCCTGCACGTTCTGGAGCATGGTTCAATTTTTGTAGGTGTCAGAAAAGCACATTCGTGATAACCCATCAAAGACCTGCCAGAGTGTGTATAAACCGTAAAAGTAAAAATATTCCTTTTTTTTTCTTTTCTTTTCCTCCTCCTTTCTTTTAAAGCTGCAGTGCCTATCCGTTTCCTGCAAGGAGATTGAATGTTACTCAGGAACACCTGAAAGTTTTATGTGCTGTTACAGTTTTGAGGTCTGAATAGACAGTATTTTTACTTAAAGGAAGAAGAAATATTTACTACATTTGATGAGTTACTACCCCGATTCAGGATGTGTTTCCCTGACTTCTTTCAATTTGTTAGATTCCTGCAGTAAAAAATTATTTAATAATTAGTTTGAAATCATTCATCTTTAAACTTATTCTGGTAATAAGCCAATGATAACTTTGTTGCCTAGAGTTGGGTGGTGCTTTGGGGTTACAAAGACACAGCTGCTTTAAATTAAGCTCCATCAGAGATGAAATATAAACAGTGTCAGTAAAGTTGTTTAGTCTGTGGGAGCTGTTAAGCAGATTTGTAGAGCTGTTAACTAGTTTTCCATTTCAACAAGTGTTAAATAACTTGTGCAGGAAGCAGCTTTGCAAACTGAAGAGCAATGCCCACAATAGACAAGATTTTGCAAGAGCAAATGTAGTGTCATAATGTGCTTCAGGTGAACTGTTGCTAGGGATTGATCTCTTGCTGACTGCACCTACTGTTGACAAAAAATATAAACCAGACTTATCTGAGCTCTTATTCTTTCTTGTGGTTGCTTTTAACTTTTTCTTCTGGAGGATTTCTATTTTGTGATACAAATTCCTGGTACGTGTCTGATCTGTTGTATTTGTTTTGCTTTAAACTGCTTTGCTTTTTTTTCCTGGTTGTGATTTTTTTTTTTTTGCTTACCATAGTTGAATCCTCCTAAGGACATTCTCTTTTCTGCTGCACCACATTCTGCTCTCTAAATAAGATAGATGTGTACAATAATGACACTACAGTATTACCAAACAGTTTTTGACTTTAATGTTTCTTAAAAGCCTTATTTATACTAGAGTGAGTATAATAGTAAACATAAAAGAAAGCACAATTGGTATGTAATCTTCTTCATCCATGATTGTCAAATAAGATAGCTGACAAACAGTGTTTGATCAGCTGTAGAGAGTGTCAAAAAATGCACAGAAGCATCGTCTTTCTCGCAGCTGCCCCCCTCTATAAGACCCTGCTTATGTGCTGATTACCACAACTATTTGAATATTACCAGACTGTTTGAACTATTTGACCTCAGAATTCATATACTTCACTTTTAAAGGGCCATGACCAAATGTGTCCTTCCTTTTCACCTAAAATGTGAAAATGTTGCAGTCCAGTAACTCTAACAAATTGTTTTGACAAATGTATTGCTATGAGGAGGGGTTTTAGTATTTCAATATGTTGTTGATATTAACAAACAAACAAAAATCCCAACAATGGCGTGGCGGGGGGGGAGGCAAAGCACAAAACTGCAGAGATGATTTGTGAGAAGTCTGTTTTGCCATGTTGGTGTTTGTTCTGGGCATACACATCCGATACAAAGTGTGGCCGTGATACTGTGAAAGAGTGAAATCTTAATGGCTCCACCTTACACGTTGTTGTTGTTTTTGTTGTTTCATCAATCCGTGTAGCTTGCTCTCTCCAGTGATAAGATCTCCATGCTGCAAATGCCGCTTCTCAATCTTGACTTGGATGTGAGGGAAAATGGTGAAATTAAACCAATTTCTATAGAGATGAATAAGGAAGAGTTGCAGAACCTAATCAATGCACTGGAAGCCGCTAATAAGGTAGCTGTTACATCCTTTGTTCCTGAATTCTCATGTGCTGAGTTAGTTTTAACGGAAACCATGTGTTCTGGGGACCTTGCTGAGAACTTCAAGTCATTCATTCATTGGCAAAATCAACGTTACAGAAAGCCTTACATGAGGCAGACTGTCTTGGGTAGACTTCAGGGGTTTTTAGCACAGTTTAGTCTAGAATTTTTTAAAAATGTGATTAGAATTCTAATAAGCATAACAGTCTATTCAGAGCACCATTAAAAAGTCTTAGGAGAATAGGAGGAGAAGCAAATGAAATGACAAAGTGTCAGATGAGAGTCGATTTTGGAAAATTGGAGAGAACTCCAGTGTTCCCCCAGCTTCACAAGATGGCAGTGGCTGGGAGTGCCTGCGGGAGAGTTGGTTGATTCAAAGTGCTGTAACTTCCATGGCAGGGTAAATCAGGAAGAAAGTTACAAACATTCCAATACAGTAACCCAAAAAGAAAACCTCAAGTGAAACTATATGGAGCTTCTCAGATTGCTTAATAGAAAAGACAAAGGGAAGTGAGGATTTGAAGAAAAACTGTTAGGGGAGGAAGCGTCATCTGACTTGCACTCTAGTGATAGCTGTGAATCCTGGAGTCCCTCCTTGTTCAGTCACCTTTCAGTATTAATTCTGGCTCTGTTACAAAGGAGAGTAGTTATTTGGGGTTTTTTTTAATCTGAAAATGTCTTAAATATTTATTGTGTTATCTGAGAGATGAAATTCTCTGATGTCTTGCAGGATGGATGTGAAAGTGTTCTATCAACATGTTTTAGAAGTTAGGTTCTAGTTGCTTCATCACATTCAGCAACTAATATGTTTTATATAATGTAAAGTATAAAGTAAGTATTAAAGTATAGTAAGTAAGATGTTTTATATAATGGTATGATGCTGTAGCTGGAATCTGTAGACCAACGTTTAGAAAGAGATCTTTGTGAGTATATAACAACTGAAAATAATAGTTTTATAGCTCATAGAGGTAAATACTAAGTTATAATAGCGCTGTTAATATTTGGAATTACAAAAGACACTAAGATTATGGCTACCAGTTGCTTTAATGAGGCTGATGTGAGACATCTGAACAATTGTGCAGTTCCCAGTAAGATAAATGCATTAGTCCAGATACGGGTGGTGTGAAGTGAGAGCCCTTAACAGCTTGCTTTCCTCTGGACTTTTTCCTCCAAAACTAAATGAAAACAGTAGCTTGCCATAAACTCCACAACTGTGCAAACAAAGATTCTTCCAGGGCAGACTTCAGTCTCCGTGGGCCTTTTATTCTACTTGGAGGTCTGTATGGATGCTGTGGGACGTTGTCATCTCCTTACTCAGTTTTATGTGTGCACAAGGAGGAATTCACTGCAGAAGTGGTCCCTTGGTTCTGCTTCGTGAGGAAGGAATCTCACGGGGCCTGGAAATTACCATTCTGCTTTTTGATCACAGGGAGCTGAGGAGTGGTTTGCATGCAGCAAACGCTAAAGAGAGTTACTGGAAGTGATAGTTGTGTGGGGCTGTAAAAGAGAGCTGGGCGAGGGGTGGTGTGTTTTCCTGGGGAGAGACTTGTTTACACAGTTGCAAGTTGTACTGTAACAGAAAGCAAAAAGCTGTATTTCCTGGACTGCTGCAGTTCTGGTCTCATCCAACTCTGATCTCATTCCTTTTCTCCTTTTTGAAGGTGGTCTCGCAACTGAAATGATGGGATTCGCATCGTCAATGGTATCTGCTGGCGATGGCTCCCCGGTGGACTTGGGGGAGGGAGGGGGAGAAAAGTTCTCTACAAAGCCAAAAGTTACTGATGCTATAGAATTCTGAAGTCAGCAGGCCGTTATGACTTGTGACTAACTACTGCTCCTTTGATAAAAATAGTAAAAACTTGTATCTGTGTGAGCAAAAATACAAATACCCAATGTACAGTTGCTTTTAGCACTGAAGATTTGTGGAACTGTGGAGAAGAACCACTTGGGCCATGTGCCAGATTTGCTTTGGTTAAAGATTGGCAGCGACTGCACAGGGGCCGAGGAAAACAGAGGCCTCTGACTTGCGTCACGTGTTACCCTTATCGAAGGTGCCGTGGTAATGAGGAGCGTGACAGAGTACTTGTAGCATTAATGTCTTTGTACTTGTAAATAAACACTCGATTTTGTGCGTGAAGAATTGCAGTAAATTGTTTCTTGATTTATTAATCACTGAACTCAGTCTTTTTAGATGCTGGGGAAAATGAGCGCTGCAGAATCGCAGAGTGGCTGGGGTCGGCAGGCATCTCGAGCAGGCTGCGCAGGACCACGTCCAGGTGGCTTTGGAACATCTGCCAAGGGTGGAGACACCACCGCCTCTCTAGGCAGCCTGCTCAGAAGCTGCGGAAGAAGCACTGGGGCTTTACTTAGAGTAAGGTTTGGGCTTTACCATTGGTTTTGTGTCGTAGTTGATGGCTTTTCACTGAAACGTGTTAATGCTTTCAAAAGGGGCTGCAGGGCTGGAGAGGAGCTGGCCTGCGTAGACTGGGGCCAAGCTCTTTTCAGTGGTGCCCAGGGACAGGACAAGGGGCAATGGGCACAAACTGAGGCACAGGAAGGTCCGTCTGCACACGAGGAAGAACTTTTTCCCTCTGAGGGTGATGG